ACAATCTATTTTTTTTCATATGACCCTCTCTACAGTCGAGGGAATAAAGAAAATCTCTTCTATTTAAAGATTTTCTAACAAGAATAATGAACCATTTTCTTAATGTATATCTTTTTCGACATTTTTCCTTTCGACATTTTTCCCTTTCGACATTTTTCCTTTCGACATTTCTACTGCCAACCTTTCTCGTCTTATCTCGTATCTTTTAGTTTGAGATTGTGCGACAAATATAAATCCTACACTACTTGAAAGAGAAAAAAAATGTTCTATCAACTAAAAAAAAAAATATTCGTTTCGAAACATGTTTATGGAAGATTTATTAAAGAGATAAAGGTATCATCATTTTGCGCCTATTATCTGAATCGTATGAAAAGTGTAGATTATTTTTAAGCGTGCTTCTTTCTTCTATTAGTTGAAAAGTTTTCTTTCAGCATCCTTTTATCGAAGAGAAATAGCGAGGGTGTGAGCGTGGATGTACATGATAAGAAGAATAACACCCACACCCCATCCTATGTTGGTTTTAATGAAACTAGGAAAAGCTCTATCGAAAAAAAAATTAATTAAATTGAAGATAATAATAATAATATTTAACTGATAGACAAAGATTTGTATCGTTTAAGAACTCCTGAAGAATTAGAGATTAGAGACGATCAATTAAATAGAATACATTGATCAGATGACGAGCTAAATGAAAGAAGTGAAGATCATTCCCGGAAGATCTGTTATAGTATGAGGATGCGTAATCACTAGTAGACATGTACCGAACCGAAGAACAGATCCAAATCCCAGTTCAGTGTTCTCTAGTTCAGTCAATTACATAGTGTCATCAGCAATAATCAATAATAAACAAGGCAGAGACATATTTAATTGATAACGCTTTTATATTTAGTGGGATTAGGTCCCCTAATATGAAATCTTCATAAACTATTTATTTATTTAGTGCTTCAACACCAGATTTTTCTTTTGTAAGTCTTCTTATTCTCAAATTCTTAGCCATGAAATCAGTGAAGTTTAGACTTTGAGAAGCTTATTCCAATGGCATTCATCTTTTGTACGGCGGTGTCTGGTACGTATGACTATCTGGTCAAATGTAACCCTTTCGAGATCTCTTTCTCTTGTCAGATTACGGTACTTTTTGGATAGTCCTAAGCCAGTGTAGAAATAAAAACTATACAAACAACTTTATTGCGAATGTTCTATTATCTTTATGATACACAACGATAAATCATTACGAGATAGAGTAAAAAGAAGGACTATAAAAATCAAGTCGGATCTATTTTACAACAAGGCAAGTCCGACATATATTCTGAAAAAATTTACTTTAAGTTTCAAACATTATGCAAACAAAGTTATTGTACTAATGACCAATTAAAAACGATGATTCAAATATCATCAAACAAATGGATCAAGTAGAAGCTAGAGATAAAGGAAAACGAACCAAGAATTTTCTTTTTAATCTACATTATTCTTATCATAGTGTACATTGTGATTTTGAAAACATCAAAAAATCAAAACGATTTGAATCTGAAGAAAAAAAATAAGGAAACTTTTAAATAATTACAAAAAAAAAGGATAAAAATTTGATCAAATCAACCTAAAGGAAGTTTTCTTGATAAGACACTATCTATTAGAATTGGTTTAAATAATTTATCAACAAAATTAAATAAATTAGACCGTTTAGATAATTTGAGATCATGAATTTTGAATAGATTCAAACGATGTGAAATTTATACTAAATTAAAAGATATTATTGATGAAGATCAATTACATTACGAAAGACAATTAGAATGTTCTAATAAATTCAGACTTGCAAGACAATAACAAAAACATTATTCATATAAAGAGGAAGCTCCTTTTGATAAAATTCAACAACCAACTAAAGAAAATGTAAAAAAATATCATAGTAGTTCAATCAGCATGGTTAGAATATTTATTTTTTGTTCACGAAAGTGTTACTAATGATCAAGTATTAAAGAAAAGTAAAGTAGCAGATACTAAAGAGATTGAACTTCTCAGAAAGAAAATATCTGATAGGCAATTTCAAGGATTTCTACATAAAGATAGCATTACTGATAAATCAGTAAAATTTTTAAATCTCGTAAAAAAGAAATCATTAATTCATACAATAACTGAATTAAGATAATCGAAAGAAAAAGACCAATTAAATGATCTAATAACTATTTTAGAAAAAACGAGCTTTGAATGAATAGAGATCAAAAGTGAAAAACTTAACATAAAACTTATTGAATTATATTCAAAAAATTTGATCAAATTTCAGTAGATAATAAAGAAGAGAGTGATCCTTTTTACAAACATAGAATTCAAGAGGTTATTTAAAAAAATTAAAAATAAATATAACGAACAAATTAAAAAAATTCTTATTGTACATTTAAATCAACAAATTTTTGATAGGTTAACAAGACATTAGAAAAGTGAAAAACATTTTTTTAATGGAAATATAATTAATCCTATTCGACTAGTATGTATTTTCAAACCCCAAAATAGAAGCAAAACTCCTGATGAATGATCCTTCAAATTTTGTCTTAGCACTTAATTATTTGCTTGAATAAAACTTTGAAAAGATTTTTTCTCCTTCATGACAAGATGATGTAAAAAACGCAAAATTGATTCTGTGAAGAGAAGAAATAGAAAAATTCAAAAATTTTTCTAAAAAGCAAAAATTTATAAGGGATGTAACTATCATTTAGTAGAGAAGAAATATGAAGATTTTATTCAAAAGATATCACTGAATCCGATTCTTTTTTTCTGTGAATTCGATCTTACTAATGCTCGAGAACATTCTCAATCTAATTTAATAGACTAGAAAAAAATAATAAATCAGAAGTTATCAAAGAATTTGAAAAAATATTAAATGAAAATATTTCTCAACAATCAATAGAACAGTTTACTCTAAAAAATATGGAAAATATTGATGAATTTTTGAAATCAAAACAAAAACAACTATTGAGACTTGTATCGACAAACATTGATTCTTCAGTTAGTGAAATCGGATAAATAAACAAACTTTTGAAACGATTACAATATAGTCAAATCAAACATTTGCTAATTTTATGCACATATTGTGCCAAATATATTGAAAATAATGATAATCATTTATTAGATAAGCATGGAGAAATTTTAATTATGGATCAAGGTATAGGTGTTAAATAATTGAATATATGTTGAAATGATAGCTTACATCAATTATTACAATGAAAACATTATGAAATATTGAATGATGAAAGTTTACAAGCAATTTTTATGTCGAATATGAGCTTTTTCAAACTTGATGAAAATTTAAATGGGATGACTGGCACAATAGATGATCACGAAGAGAAAGAATTAAATCTTAAATATGGAGTTGATTGTTTTGAATTACCACGTTTTAGAAAATATTGATTTCAATATGAAGAGAGTAAAGAATATGTCTGTGAATGTGAACATAGTTGTTGTAAACAGCTGGTTTTGAAACAATCAGATTTCTGCGATTAGCAAGAGTCATGCTATACACGATTTTGTATAGCCAATTTCTGTATTTCCTGGGCAGGTCATAGAAAAATGAATTATATGACTTGAAAGGAAACTAGAAAACCGTAGTGTTGTACTGTTGCGACAAAAACTGACTGCAGCAAAAGACCATCATTTAGATATCAACTTTCGAACACCATAGAAGAGCAGATGGACTTTTATCATATTTTGCGCCCTTCCTCTTTGTTCATTGCATTTCATCTGTTTACGCTTTACACAGTCAAATATGCTTTGCTATGTGTAATATTAGTTAGTTAATCTTTTTTTTATGAAATACAAGGTATCAAAATGAACGCGTGAATAAAAAAAACATCATTAAAATTTATTGAATCATATCATAACCATGCACCATCGTCTCATTGCTTCTTCTATGAGCAGAAGGACACGTGATCAACAGCCCATTTAAAATAGTAGACTTATACTATGGTTGAAAAAACAAAAATAATGATAAGAAAAAACTAGTACCGATTTCAGAAAAAATATAAAACTCTTATACCGCTTAGCATGTTAAATATTTTGATGTGTTAACTGTTCGCTTAAATCCCACAATCGTTTTGCTTTCTCTACATCATACGATTCTTCGCTTGAACGTGCTTCTTTCATATCAGACATAAATACTCCAGTTTTACCATTAAGAGTGTCAGATGTTGCAGCAAATACTTCACATTCACTACCAAAATCTTCTGTTCTAAATAACGAACGAAATTTAATAAATGTATTGATTTGTTGATTGATACTGACCGTGTAAATGGAAATAGAGATAATATATAATACATAAAATATCGCTGAAAAAAGTTTGCGTCTCTATGTAAACCAGTAGTAGGAACGAAACCCTTAAAGAAACCATTACTTATTTATGTAAGAAATGAGAAGCATAGCGTTATTTTCTGTACCGGACAAATAACATGAACATCGACTCTTGTATTTTCTAATCTTCGAGCTAATTCGTATGCAAACCAAACATTGGCCAATTTTGAATTTTTGTAAGCGATCATTCCATCGTATTCCATTTCATTGTTAATCTCATCTAAGTTCCATTTGAATTTTGGAGGATTTCCATGTCTTGCATTTGAATCATGTAGTTTTGATGAAACAATGATTATTCTTGAAGGAGATGAATGTTTCAAGTCGTCCAAAAGGAGATTTGTAAGTAAAACTAAACGAAAATCCGATATTATAATCAATTTTTCTAGTATTTCAGCATACTATGAAAACTCAATGTTTGGATGTAGTGGTCTCAAAATAATCTGAGCAGAAGATCTCTTTCATCGTAACCTACGTTTAGGAAATGTATTCACTACTATTGTCCTCGATGAAGAAGTACGTTTACACGAGTTTAAGTGAAGCTAAAAGGCTCAACTACGCGCCTCAGTATGAGTATGTCAAAATAGAGATAGTTTATCTTTTTTGTTATACATATATAGATAGATATTTTCTAAAAGAAATCCAATAATGAACTGCGCAACTAAAACGATCGGAATCGATGTCTGTGAATGAAACTTATACACAAAACAATGAGATGAGTAGTACGAAATGAAAGCTGATGTATAATATCCTTAAGTTCAAAGTTAAATCATAATTTTTTGCTCAAATCCAAACAAAATTATGAGTTTGGTACATTCGTACTAGTATTCTAATTTAGCTCATACAATGTCCTAGATGATTAACTGCAAAAGAATATTCAATCCCATCATTTGATTTTTTGAAAGTTTTGGAATAAACTCCCGCATTGTTTATCAACAAATTGAGCGGTAATCTTTTGCTATGAAAGTCATCGACGAACCTATAGAAGTTCATCAAATAAAATAAACATTACATAAAGCAAGCAAGATAAATTGCTAACCGTCGAATAGAGTCGAATGAACCAAGATCCAATTTCATAAATTCAAAATTTGATGTTCCTGATTCTTCTTTCAATTTTTGAAGCAATGACATTGTTTTAACTTCGTCACGACATGCAAATATGACATAAAAATCTTTCGCCACTAACTTCTTAGCTGTAAGGAGTCCAAGACCTGAACTTGAACCAGTTATTATACACACATTTGTTATAGACATCTGAAATTCATAAGTTTGATATTTCTTTGATTTATTTTAAGAAAATACAACAAAAAAATATTCTCGTTTCAGAGCAGAGATGCTGGAGCTGCTAGCCATCACGGAAGCCTGTAAGTCGCTTGTATTTCATTTTTCTAACTTCTAATAAAGAACGACGACAATCAATCAAAGATAGAGCAAAAATATTATTTGTTTCTAACTGTTTTTAGTTGATTGTAAAAAAGGAAAAAAATAAAATATATCACAACTTCTAGTATGTATTTTTTATTCATATAATTATTCTTGTTTGTACGTTTTCCTTTTGTTGAAGACTTCAAAGAAATGTGATGTCTATGCCCTTACTCAATTAGTTTTGTTTAAAGTGATGCTCTATCTTTTTGTGCTGTTCACTGTAAAGATTTAATGTTGTTTACTACCACTATATTCGCATGGAAAGTATATAAACTCTTCTTGTTCCAAGAAATTAGAGTCTTTTTCAGTGTGTGTGTAACTGAACTATTATTATCTGTATCGTGTCCTTATGAATCATCTATAGCTGAACAACATGCGCATTAAATTTGATGTGAAAATTCCCTAGAATTTGTTGATCGCTACTTGTAAGATCTTGTGAAATTGTAAAGTAGAAAAAAGAAACCGCATGCTACCCAAGTAGTTGAATAAAATATCTTGTTTGAGACAGCTTCAGGTGTGCATATAAAGATATGTAATTTTTGCCACCGTTACATTCATGCTGAGTGTCGATAAATATTATTAGTTCATAATGGGAAAACGTTCGATCTTTGGATAATCACAGAATACATATCAAATGACATCGATAAGTCATAGATGAACGCTTTCGTGGCAACCTCAAATCTTTCTTTATGCATGTACTGAGATCAAGACTATTGATGAAATTTTTCTTTGTCATCTTATTCTCTGTTATGTGATGGTAAACCTGTATTAAAAAATATGACAAGCAAAAGTAACAATCTGATTTTTCCAAATCTACTCTAATTCGTTACTTTTTGAGTTTAATCTATTAACGTTTTTTTCAAATTTCACTAAAAAAGCTGCATAATTTTAGTTTTCTTGATCACTTCAATTTTTGCAATATTGTGAGTTTTTAATCTTTCAGTGCAGATTCATAGTTATTTTTTTCAGATATCCTCGTAAAAAAAGATCTATTACTGGAGTTTACTGATACATCTCAAAAACATGTTAATAAAACGGCATTAAAAAATCAAAAACTTCGAATATGTCAAAAATTGAAACAATCAAGAAAATAAAAATGTGGAATTTTCTGAGTGAGTTTTGAAAACAAAAACGTATTTCCTCTATTTCAGTCAAAAGTGATATCTCACAACGTTATTTGCAAAGTTTATACGTATCAATAAAAACTTCGTGATGATACTTATTATATAAAAAATAGTTAATTACTTTTGACAAATACAGAAGTCTGCAAAATTTACTTTTCTAGCGGACTTTAGTTGCTAACGAGGATTCTGAGCCTTAATATATAAATAGGAGTGACGTGAAAAAGAAATAAATATATTGTCTTACTTTCATATTCATTAACATATGTAACAAAAGCAAAACAAATAGATATAGTATTCGCTTACCTCTGCCATGAACGCGCAATCTGAAACAATCAACTTGAGCAGCTGAAAACAGAACTTAAGGTAATTAAATTACCGAAGACTCTAACTAAGATACTCTGTGAAAAACAAAACAGAAAAAAAATGAACAAAACGCTAGGTCTTAGCTAGGACGAATGACATAATAGCATTTTTCAGTACAGACAGAATTGAAAAACAAAGTCTTTTTTGATTGGTTTGTTCTACCATTATCGGAGCACGTAAGACTTTATATCTGTAAAGACCTTGCAACAAAATCATCTACATTTTTCCACTTAGAAAGTATTA